TGCACTGATAGACAGGATTAGGGACGGGCAGTTAAATTCCCTGAAACAATAAATTATCCGAACGTTTTCAGTTTCACACGACAATTTTAATTATGGTTTGGGGAAATTTAATTTGTATGCAAAGCAGCTGGCTCTTCCCTGCTTTCCATGCACTGCGATTTTGAAACAGAGAGGCGCTGTCTGAGCCTCCAGCGCCCCGCAGGTGGAGGTGTCTTAATGGGGGTATCCCAAAGAGGGCTCTCCAGTCCCATGTGAGCTACACGAAGCGTCAGCTCTCATTCCCAAAGCTCAGCTGCTGCGGTGTGTGAACAGCACTGTTACAAGTGATGGAGTCACTGTCCCTGGAGGTGCTCAGGAGATGTGTAGATGTGGCACTTGGGGACGTGGTTGGGCACCGTGGGGATGGGTTGGTAGCTGGATTTGGTGATATTAGAAGTCTTTTCTAACCTGAATGACTCTATGGTCCCACAGTCAGGGTGTTCTCCAAAGTGGGACTGAAGAGCTGCAGGGAGAGTCAAGGCCTTCCCAAGCCATTCACCAGGGACAAGCAAGCTTGGGGAAAGAGGGAGGAGAAATACGGTACAAGAGGAAGTGGGGGTATGAGAAGGACAGGGGGGTGCGCAAAGAAAACTCCAGACAAAGCCATGCTGTCCCTGAGCAGCACAGTGCAGACAGGATACGTCCCTTGGAGGGCTCCCAAAGAACAACCCCCAGGAAAAGTAAAGCAAACTAGCGGGCAGTGCTCAGCTCCACGCGCAGCACCGGTGGGATGGGAGGTACGCATGGAACCAGTGGAGGGGACCCAGCACTGCGCTGCCCACTGCCCTTACCTGGGACGTGCCGGGATCCACACGCTTGCCCCTAATAAAACTGTGCCACTACTGACACAGCCCCGAACCTGAGAAACAACTTCTACAAATAAGGAATTACACGGGTATTTAGAAACACGTTACACAGATCGTTATGCTGCAGCAGGGATGTCTGCACTGGGGAGAGCTCACGCTGGGAGCGGAGGTTGGAGGCGACGAGGAGGAGCGATTTGGGCTGCAGGGAGCGCAGGGCGGCTGGACGGGCAGCCTTCTGCTGGAAGGGACTTTCGAGCGAAAGTCAAGCTTTCATTAAAGAGGGCGTGTGTTAACATAATCTAATATAAGACAATTTGCAGCACCTTTTGAGGTATTATGAATGTGTAGCAACAGGATAAAATCAAGAACAACAAGTTTTCCCAAATAATACTGAAGTAGTAATTTGAAAGCAAAGCAGTGCTGGACCTGACCCGCCCTTCTGCCAGGGGAAGCAATTCCAAGAGAAAATGCTAAATAAGGAACTATGAAAGCATCTAAAAAGAAAAAGCAAGCAGGAAGAACCTGCTGGCAGCATGCGGGCAGATAAAAGGGCGAGACAAATTAATACGTGGGAGAAAGAGGTTTTGGAAGTCAGATGCAGTAAACAGACAGAAAAAAAGTGGTGGTGGTCTGTTGCACAGAGAAAGGAAAGGCAACAGCTGGAGGAACCGCGCTGTTATGCTGCTGTGCCCACTGCTGTGCTGTGGCCCCCTCCCTAACAGCAGGAATGGGGGGGGTCAGGGGATGAGCTGCACCAGCAAAGTGTGACAACAGATCCCCGAGAAGTGATCTGCACAGCCGTGAGACGTCGGTGAGAAGAAACCAGACAATCAGATGTGCAGTGTGAGCGCTGGGAGCAGCCGGGAGCGCAGGGCTGCACTGCACACGCACTGACACTGATTGCAGGCGTTGGAATTGTGGGCCGTGAGTTGCTGTATGGCACAGGCTCTAATTTCCCCATAAAAGTCTGTTCCATGAAGCACACAGACAGGTGAGCCTCACCCACAGCCCTGTCACTGTCTATGGAACTTGTACTTGAGTTTATTGGGTTGTGTAACATTTGTAAAGAGTTATGTACATCAGTAACATACTATGGTAACGAGCAGGAGATTTCTTGGCCTGCTGCACCAAAAAACTTCATTTACACTGCCTGCAAGACCCACACCCTGGAGACGCATTGCAAGTAGCAATGTTTTAGCAAGTATTAAATAAAGGCACACAGAGAGTTCTCAGGGCCACAGCTAGCCCACACTTGGGCTGCTTATGGGGTCTGGGCTCTGTCAGGACCTGCCAGGCTCTGGCAGCAGCACTGCAGGTCACAGCTGGAGATCTCTGCAGCTTCCTGCTGCCATCAGTCCCCATCCGGCCCAACACGAATTCCCTCACGCTCTGCTTTGCCCCGAAGAGCGGCTGTGCTCCCAGTGGTGCAGAGGCTGTGCAGTGCACTGCGCTCGAGGCCAGCAGGGAACTGAAAGCCCTCGAGGTGTGGATCAGGCTGGGAGCTGCAGCAGGAGGAAATCCAGCTGAACACCTCGGCATCATGCTGAGCCTCACTGCAGCCACGAGCCCAGAGCTGAATTGGAGATGTGAGCAGTCTGCAGGAAAGGACTGACTGCCTTTCCCAGCTCGCTCAGAGCGCCGCACCGCAGCCCACAGCGCTTCCAGCTGCCTCCCAGCACCGCAGATCAGCGCGGGGGATGCAGCTCTGACTCACAGCCCCACAACATCACAGTCTGCATCTGAAAGCTGGGAGTGCGAGGTCTGGAGCCGGCTTAGTATCACTTCAAAGCAGGTTTTAATAAGTGATCCCCAATGGCTATTATGCAAATCATTACTCGTAATTACAAGTGACAAGATAACATCGTATTCCAGAGAGGTTGCACAAACATCACTGAAGCAATGCTTATGAAAGCAAAGTTCTGTCTGTGTCTCCTTGTTGACACGAGGAGCGCTATCAGTTTGATAAGCAAAGCGAGCAAAACGTGGAAGAGACGGTGGCACGGCATGCATGGCTGTGTGCTGGGATCACCACAGTCCCAGTGCCCTTACAGACCTTGGCACCATCTCACAGCAGTGCAGCTACAGCCCGGTACGAGTCCTGTAGTAAGATGGATCCAATCTTGGCTGGTGAATATGACTCTGCAGCCCGTGGGGCTCTGAGCCAGGATGCATAAAAAGTGCCCAGCAGTGACACCAACCAGTTTGCCGTGTGCTGTAAGACCTCCTGCTTCTGCCATTGGTGGCTGAGGACATGAGCCAGCTGCAGTGCTCCGTATCTGCAATGTGCCTGCTAAACTGAGACTCTGAAAGGGAAAAAAGGCGACCCAAGCCCAGAGCGCTGCTCTCTTCTGCTGGGCAACTTCTGAAAACCAACGCAGCAGAAGCAAAGCTCCAAGCAATCCAGACACTATATTAATTTCTGCTGGCTCTCACAGCCACACCCTGTCTTCAATTACATTCCTCAAAATGTCTGACGAAAGCCAAATTTATTCCCTATCCTCCTTTTTGCTCATGATTTTCACTCCGATGAGTCTGGGCTGTGTGGGGAGCAGGGAGATGTGCTTCCAGGGGGAGGATGGACTTGTATTTCAGGCGCTGCAGTCGGCAGTCTGAGCTCTGAGGGACTCCAGCGCTGTCCGTGAGCAAGGTATTTCTCTGCACCCTATGAATAATGAATATTCTAGGATGCTGCCAGCCTTAGGCAGGCGTTTCTTATCACTTTTGATCTAAACAAAGAAATAAATGAGCTCACTGGAGAGCAGAATCCTAACGTACGCTCATGAGAAGATGATCACATTTACTCATCCTTGGGGTCATTCGTCACTGCAGTGCCACTAGCAGAGAAGGGGGAGCGCACTGGTGTGGTGTCCTCTGCACTTGTGCCCAGGTGACGGCTGCTCTCAGGGCTGCCCGTGGGCCGTCACAGGTTTATCCCAGCGGCTTCTGTAACCGTGCACGGGGACATCCTCAAATGGAAGGTTGCCTGTGAGTAAGAGTGGCTGGAAATTCCACGCCGCAGGGAAGAGAAGCCTCTGTCCCTCGAAGAGCAGGATGTCCTCTCATTACCGCAGTCTGCTGGACAAAGGCACCTGTGCTGGCTGAGCCAGTCCTCCCCGCGCTCCCCAGCTCTCCTGCCCAGCCGGGGAGATGCTCTCCCAGCAGTGATGGTCGGGCCAACGCACTACTGCTCTGACAAACACAGGCAGTAAATGTGGAAAGCTTTCCTCCTTTTCCTTTTGTGCTCAATACAATTTTGGTTGTTGGCGACAGCAGTGACCTGCTGGATCGCATCACAGTCGGGACAGGGAACCCCATGAATCGCCATCACGCCTTTCCTGCGAGTTCCTTCTTTACCTATGGATGGCACAGACTGAATGATGACAGCAACAAAAAATAACTTCAGAGAGGCACCTCAGTCTGTGTGACACTCGGACCAAGGGGCAGGCAGGAATTTCCAGTGCTTTGCAGACTGTGAGCAAGTTGAGTTCCTGGGCTGGCGTGACAGAAGCATGGGCTATGGATGATGTGACTGGAGAAATCTTGCAGCAGAGGTTCCTGAGCCCTCTGCCTGTAATTGCGCCGGCTGGCAGGCATCAGCACCGCGGCACCCCGGCTCTTTTTGCTCCTATGGTCACCATTGTTCACGCTTTTCAGAAGTGTAAATTTAAATTAACTGCCCACTTTGATTCCACGCAGTCTACTGTAGCACATGATACAAAAATGTTTGCTGGACTAAGAATAAAATAAATACAAATTAATAAAAGATAAAAGGGACTTTGATGTTATAAATACCAATGCTGCTGCTTTGTACATAATCTAGGGCAACTTCTTTTCTTGACTTCTTGTAAAGTTTGCATCACACAAAAAGCTGATGACTCATAAAACATTATTTTACTTTTTGGAATAAGCTGCTGACATGTAAAGTATCTTCCTTGTGAACTGGGATTTCTAGAGGGAAACTGCCTATGGGTTATTTATTCCTGGCATAAACAGCAAGACTAGCCAGCCCCGTGGGAAGAAGAAACACCCCAGAGGTGGCACCCGCTTGGAAGGTATAAATAGGGATCTGCGGCGGCGACCAACCTGCAGTCTGATTCCGTATCACGCTGTGCATCTTGCTTTGGGCTTTGGGCTGGATTTGCAGCTGTCCTCACAATGAGTTGTAGTATTAAGCAGACAACCGGCTCTCTCAGGGGCAGGACCAGCGGTGGCAGCTGTGTTATTGGTGGTGGTGGTGGTGGTGGAGGAGCACGGATTTCCTCGGTCTCCTCTGGAAGATACACGACCTGTGGGATAGGCGGTAGCCGAGGGTTCTCTGGGAGAAGCTACTGCAGTGGTGTGAATTACGGAGGAGGACTGAGCAGCGGCAGTCTGGTCGGTGGGAGCTATGGAGGTGGCTTAGGAGCCACTGTCCTCGGAGGATGCTCAGGCATTGGATTCAGCGGTGGCAGTGCCCGCTTTGGTGGTGGCATTGGAGGTGGCCTTGGTATCGGCATTGGTGGAGGGGTAGTTGGAGGGGGTTTTGCTGGTGATGGCATTCTTCTTTCTGGTGACGAAAAAGTCACCATGCAGAACCTTAACGACCGCCTGGCTTCTTACCTGGACAAGGTGAGGTGCCTGGAACAAGAAAATGCTGACCTGGAGTGCAGAATCAGGGAGTGGTACGCCAAGCAGGGCCCCTTTTGTGAGCCGCGGGACTACAGCTGCTATTACAAAGAGATAGAAGATCTTCAGAACCAGGTAACATCACTTCTCAGCTGCTTCCTCGCTTGTAAACTTCTCCCACGCAGTTGCTTCACAGCTTAATGCAGCTATTGAGAGTAACATTTCACTGTTGTAAAACGCTCCTCGTAAACAGACATTAAGACAACTGCCTGCAGAGAGCCCCGGAGCTCAAACGTAAAAGTCTTGAGAGTTTGGATTGTTTCCATTGCTTTTATTCATCGCTTATATTTGAAAGGGAAAGTGTTGTGGGCAAGGAGTACATCTGGATTGGCTCAGCAGTCTGTCTGGGTTACATTTTGCCAAGGTGTTTGAGTGGATGATTGCCAGGAGAACGACTGCATGAGAAATAAATAACAAGTCGTATGAGCTTTTTCTGTCATTCATCTCGTAGAATTCCAATTAAACATTGCTTCCTCTATTTACACGTTTACTCTTTCACACAGAACTGGGAAGTTTGGACACCTCATTAAAAGTGAGAACAAAGAAAGCATTGCCAGAATAAAGTTAAAATTGCCTCCCCAGCTGTGCTGGATGCTCACACCGTCCTGCTGTGCTCAGCCAACAGCACTCAGAGCCTGGGGTTTGGTCTGCTGCACTGCATGCGCTGCAGCCCGAGGGGATGGGAAGAGGCTTCAGGAGTGACCATGGAACTCTCTTCTTTTCCAGATTGTCTGCGCAACCATAGACAACAACAAGATCATTCTGAACATCGACAACAGCCGGATGACAGCCGATGACTTCCGAGTGAAGTGAGTGCTCCTGGTGCTCAGCAGGCTGTCAGGATGCGGCTCAGGGTTGCAGGCTGTGCAGAAGGGCTCCTGCAGCCAGAGCTGCCTTCATGTCTGGGCAACAGCACAATTCTGCATGCAGATGAGAGCTGTGCAGGAAGCACCAGCAGGTTTTGCACAGGGAGCAGTGCGGGCTCACTCGGCTTCTTAAGGGAGGTTTTTGTTTTCCCTTGTTAGAGCATGGAAACGTGATGAGTGACCCCTCCACAAAGCTGTAGAGAAAGTGGGTTGAGGGCAGACCTGGGAAGGGGATCCTCAGACCGCTTCCCTCAGCATCCCGGGAGGCTGGTTAGGAAATGGCTGTAAGAAAGGCGCCTGCAGAAAAGAGCAGATGATGGGGTCGGATGCTGACTGCTCTCTCTTGCCTTCTTTCTCACTCAGGTACGAGACGGAGCTGGCCCTTCGCCAGAGCGTGGAGGCTGACATCAACGGGCTGCGCCAGGTCCTGGACCAGCTGACGCTCTGCAGGTCCGACCTGGAGGCACAGCTGGAGTCACTGCGGGAGGAGCTCTGCTGCCTGAAGAAGAACCATGAGGAGGTAGGCTGATGGCCCCTGCCCAAAGCCTCCCTTCACTCAGGATCTGTGCTCTCCCTCCCTTCGGCTGATGCTGCAAAGGGCTTCTCTTCCCCTGCCACACCACTGGATGGAGGTGGCACAGGGAGCCGGGAGCCGGCAGTGCCCCCAGCTGGGATCCTCCCTGCTCTCCCTGGTGTTTTCCTTGCTTCTGAAACCTGATATGGTTTCTCCAGGAAATGAACTGTCTGAGGAAACAGTCGACTGGAGATGTGAGTGTGGAGGTCAATGCCTGTCCTGGCCCTGACCTCAGGAAGATTCTGGAGGAGATGAGGTGCCAGTATGAGACGCTGATTGAACGCAATCGCAAAGAAGTGGAGGATTGGTATGAGTGCAAGGTGAGCAGAGTTATTCAGCTGTGACTTTTCCAGGCTATGATTTCACAGCAGTTTACCTCAGGTTAAATCCACACGTCTGTAACAGTATTTGGCACTGATTTTGACTGCCCAAGTGCCACAGGGGATGCTGCCTCTGCGCGTCCCTTTGGGTTGAGAGAGTTCACCCAAAGTGTTCTCATTTCATGCTTTTTGCTACCTCCACTCTCTTCGCTTAATCCTTAGCCTGAGTTACAGTGAAACATCCCCTTAAGAACTTTGCTCTGCCTTGGTGATTTGCAGATTGAGGAGGTGAACAGGGAGGTTATCACGAGTGGTCAGGAGGTGGAGACGTGCAACAATCAGGTCACCGAGCTGAGGCGGCAGCTGCAGGCGCTGGAGATCGACCTGCAGGCTCAGCTCAGCCAGGTGCGTGCACAGCTCACAGCTGCAGCTCTGCTTCAGGGCAAGAACCTGCAGTAAAATGCAGCTTCCTCATGCCCGTATTTCTGTTGTGCCACCTGTCACCCTTCAGAGGGACAACCTGGAGTCCTCTCTGGCTGAGACAGAATGCCGCTACAACAACCACCTCGGTGAGCTGCAGACTCAGATCACGTGTGTGGAGCAGCAGCTGGCGGACCTGCGGGCGGAGATGGAGTGCCAGAACCAGGAGTACAAGATCCTGCTGGACGTCAAGTGCCGCCTGGAGCAGGAGATCCACACCTACCGCTGCCTGCTGGAGGGCGGGCAGCAGGACCTTATGTGAGTGCACCTGAGACAAGGGACACTAAAATGCCTTTGTTACGTGTATTTTAGAATACCCAAGCATTGCCACAGGAAGAGAGCTCGCTGCAGGAGTCAGCCACGTTTATGCCAAAGACAAAAACAGACCAAGAGCAAAGGGTCAATGCACAAACTGTAGTTCTAATTTATCCGCCATTCCCTTCACTAAAATGTTCTTTTCCTTTCCACTCAGTCAGCAAGGAGGAATTGGTCAGTTGTCGGGTCTAGGAGGAGGAGTTGCACGAACAGGAGGAATAGGAGGAGGAGGAATCATCCGAACAAGCCACACGTACACTTCGTCTGCCCAGATGCCATCCTGTGCAGCTGCGGAGATACAAGGTGAGGGCTGCAGAGCTCCGCTGGGCTTCAAGCCCTCTCTGCTCGACTGCAATGCTACCAGATGGGAGGGGGCAGACAGGTAGGGAAGGACAGAGTCGGAATACAGGCAAGGTACAGACAGCAGAGAACAGGGAGAAAGGACTGGTCTGAAATGTAGGGCAAAGGAATGAGCAGGAGAAAGGAGTGCCCTGAAAACCAAAAGAGAAACAGGAATTGTGGGATTTTTGGTAGAAAATTACCAGTACCATTTCAGGGGGAAACTTCCAGCCAAACTGAAAGAGAAATAAACGAGCATGGTGGCAGCTGGTGCAGTAGAATGAGGGTAAGTGGAGCACTGTGCAGTGCTCAGCCCAGTGCTGTGCCTGCAGCTCCCACCATTTGGCACTGCTATGGGGAAGGGCAGAGCATGCCTGAGCCACCATGGGTCCCATCAGCCTGATTGCAGGCAGCGAGCAGCCGTTCCTGCAGGGCTGTTTTCATCTGAAATTCCAGCTGAGCTGGCTCCTAAGGTGATCGTGTGTACAGAATGACAGCACAGGAAAGAATCTGGTTTTGCTCTAAACAAACTCATGTTTTCCTTTGATCTCTCCAGTGCCTTGCAGAAGGATTTGTGATTAAGCAGAGAAATGAGAATATCCAATGAGAGATCCCTGAAGCAGAGCCACGGATAAAGAGAGAGAATATTTACTGCACGCCTCTGCAAAGAGCAAGGAACTGCTCCTTTGTATTACTCAGCAATGCTACGCGATGTGCCAGAGGGATAAGCAGAGCGTTGGGCCAATTTCTGCTTTATTTTGCTATTTGCTTTTTCCAATCTGTATTGCTGCACCTGCCCAACCACCGTGACTGCTGCTGCAGGTCCCAGTACTATGATCACTAATGCACCTGCTGGTGAAAAAACTTCTCTAATAAAACTGTGCTTCTGCATGACGCAATCAACAAAGCCGTGTCCACACTCTGCTTCCTGCAGCCACGCAGGTGGTGCCCGTATGCTTCCATGTTTTGCTAAAACACACTTATAGACAAATATGTGGGAAAATAAGGTGAGCTTAGCCTGGCTGAAAGGCAGTGACAGAACAGAGAAATTGTGTCCTTCAGCTCCTAACAGCGTGCTGTGACCCTAACCCTAAGCATAGCCCTAACTCTAACCCTAACCCCCCCACCTGGGCAGTGGGGTCGGTTGGAAGAGAAGCCCTTGGTCTTCACAATCAGCGCAGTTTCTGCTGGTTTGGTTTTCTGTCATGTTCAGAGCCATCCCCTTCGTTTTATAGGAACCTTTCCACTGAGAACAGGACTGGTGGCAAAAGGTTGATTTCCTACCTGCTCTCGCGTAGCCACTGAATCACATCATCCTATTTCAAAAAGTTTCAGCCTGAACATCAGAAACTGCTGACAGATCATCCTGACACTTAGCACACCTTCCAAGAACTGGCAGAGGCAGTGGGAGCTGAAAATGTGCAGTGCCACAGAAAACGTCAGCTAGGGTCTTTCAGTACCCAGAGCCATTATTTCTTACAGCTCAGAAGCAAGGCAAGGGCCCCTCTGCTTCTGGGCCCCAGAGTGACCTGCAGCTGATGTGGAGTCAGTGTGCACGGACACAGTAACATCCATGTCTCTTGATGCTGACCTGCACAAAAGAGCAAGTGCAGCAGTTTGGCAGCTTGGGGCCCTGCAGCACTTCTGGTGGGTGTAATCATGTGATGCGTCCGCAGAGAGCTTGTAGAGTCATTCTGGGCTTGGAGAACATTCAGAGAAAAGCTGGTGTGAGCTGGAGGTGTTTTGGGGATTAGAATGTTTGCTGGACCAGAAAAGCAAGCAATGATTTTACACATTCACTCCTCCCCACAGCTTTACAGCTACAGCCTTGGACACGGGCTGCACCCCTGGTGCACTGCCGTGTGTTTGGTACAGAAAGTCACATTCACATGTTCACACGTTCCCCTACGGGTGGCTCAGCACAGCATCCCCTGCCTTGCTGCCAAGCTGGAGACATGAAGCAGTCACCCCCCATGGAGGGGAAAGGCCACAAAGACAAAAACATTTCAGGAGCAAGCACACAGTGCAGCGTGGCACACTTCTGCAGCCTCAGTCTTCATATGGAAACTGATTTCTCTACAGAAATATATTTGCCATGACATGGAACCTTACAGATCAGTAGCACCTCAGAAGGCTCATATACAGCCAGGGCCTGAAGAGGTTCCATCACTGGGGAGGTGAACAGTGCCCTCCTCCTGTAAAAGTGGAGACAAGACCCAGCAGCGGTACTTTTTTATATTATCTACCAAACTCAAGAACCACCAGCATTCAGGGACCAGAGCAAAGTGAGACATTGCAGCATTGGAACAGCTGTGATAATGACACATCAGTGGGTGTTTTCAAGCCAAGACTCTACATCAAGTCTTCTATAAAGACAAGTTCCATGCCAGGGAAAGTCTTGGACTTGATGGAAGACGTGTACAGCATGTGCTTCCCAGGAGACTGAAGGAGATACTCATTGCGGTTACAGTGGAGAAGTTCCACTGCTGGACTCCTCAGTGCACATCCATCCCAGTTCTCAGAGCTGGGGCTGGGGCCACAAAGCAGATCTTCTCGTGTTCCTTCCCACTGTATTCCCCCGCCTTGCTCAGTTGCCAAGGCAGGCTGTAGGACAATCTGCTGCCCCTTCTGGTCTTGTCCTTTCCCAGCATAGCAGTCCTTCACTCGCTCATCGCTACAACATGAAGATGCTGCACTGACACACTTCCAGCTTTAAGTCTCCTGGAATCTCCAGGCTGCCCCAGGAGCAGAAGAGCTGTGCTGACATCTAGCTGAGCGCCCGCACTCATGGCAAAGGCTTCCCACCCTCCCCAGGCGTCTGCAGGAGCAGCGCAGGCACTTTCACAAAGGAGCTGCCCTACATTCCTGACAGGTGAAGGAGACCTAATGACACGGCCAGAAGGACTACAATCACCCAGGGTTATGAATTTGCCCCTGGAAAGCCCCCAGGGATGCACAGTCAGCTCCTGAGACACCGGGCCTACGAGTTGGGATGCGTCTGGAAAGCAGCTTATGAGAAGGTAGCTTGGGATAAACAGTCCCAACAGAAAACACCCTGCAAATAACCATGCATTAGGGAGCTGCAAATTATGGAGCTGCAGACCTTGGGCTGGAAATTACATTTCCATGAGATTTCCATACTTGTTTGTGCTAGTTGGAGCAGACCCAGGAACCTTATGAGTACACCTAACAAAAACAGGAGAGGAAGCTTGGTTTATGACTTCTTTAGACCTTCAGAGCAGTAATTTCCCTTGGCCTGACTAGAGCACCCATTTCCTGAAGACAAAAAGGAAAATGCAAGAGAGTGGGCATTCCTGTGCCAGGGAGAGCTGCCCACTGCAGGGCCAAGAGCTGTGCTACTGCTGCAGCCATTACCACAACGGCACACAGGCATCCTCCCATCCCACAAAGGGGTGCCCCGTGTTTCTGCCTGCATTATCTTGATGTGCTAAAATGATAACCGTGAAGGAGAGGAAGGAATGCGTGCTCACTCAGGAAAGATGCTTGCTGCAGACAGCGATTGGGAAACTTCTGAAGAATTATGTGCAGGACAAAGCAAAGCTTCCAGCAACGCAGCATTACATCAGTTTCGGTTCATTCTTACCACCACACCCTGACTCCAATTATGCTCCCCATTCCTAGTAACGAAATCCAGATATTCTGTTTCTAAGCACAATCGCTATTTGCTGAAGTTTTACGTGTCCTCAGCTCTGCTCTTGGTTCAGCCCCGAGCGGAGCGCAGCATGGCAGCACTGCAGGCATCAGCAGCTCCTTGTTGCTGATAAATCACTCTGAGCGTCTGCACAGCTCTGTCTCCATCCTGCTGGAGATAGCACAGGAATGCTGCTGGCTTTCATTGCACCACATAAGTAATGTCCAAGGATGAGAGATAAGAAAGGCAGCTCTATAGAGAAAGCAGGCGAGTAAGAACAATAAAGTGATGGGTAAATCCACAAATAGCGTCAGGCTTCAGTCTTTTGGTAAATGGGGTTCTTTGCTTGCCATGAGAGCAGCTGCCCACCATCCAGACATGGAGCAGAAGTTCCACCTCTCTGTGCTCTGCTGCTTGGGCTCAGGGTGGCTCTTGGTGGATGCATCCCCAGCCCAGCAGCTGCTGCAGACAGTTCTCCCTACACAGCAGCCCAGTGTGTTCACAAAGCAGCTCAGCCCGAATGTCAAAAAAATAAAAGATTTTTGGTTTTCACTTTTTCGGCCCAGCTAAGATTTGGAGACATGAGGAACAGAACCTCTACTTCATGCTTAATCCACCTTTTCCAAGTCAGTCTAGGACTGTTCCAGGCAACAACTGCTCCACCGCCTTCGTGGGCAGTTCTGTCCTCCTGTCTCCCAGCAGCGGTCTGGAATTGCATTTAGCACACAGCACACTGACACAGAAATTGCCTGCAGGGTCTTTCCAGCCCCACTCAGTTTGAAAAGCCCACCTCCCCCTGCAGCTCATCTGCCATTACGAGAAAACAGCAGCAGCGCCTTTCGCTGAGCAGCAGGACAGCATTCAAAGCCCTGCTGTGTTATTTTGTGCTCTCTAAAAAGAAAGAAATCCTTTGTGAACCACTGGGCAGCCACAGATCACACATGAAGAATCTTCCGTCTGTGTCCATTAAGAGATCACTGCACATCATCACGGCTCACAGCAGTGCTCTGGAATTGTTATTTCAGCAGTGGAGAGACTTAGAGGTTAATCTCTCCGTCTCTGATCTCTGCACAAAGTTCTTACATCATTCTTCATACATCATTCCAGAATCCAGCTTCGTACATACGTTTTCATCTTACATATTCCAACATCAGCAGCTTGCATGAAACCTGCTTATTCAACTCAAAATAAAATGAAAATAAATTAATGAGAGATAAAGAGCTCTTTGATGCAATAACCTTTAATGATTTCTTCCTGGTATATAATTTAGGACAGTGTTTTTCCTGGCTTAATGTTGTAAAGTTTGCATCATAAACAAAAAGCCGATGATTCATAAAACATTATTGCTAATGTATTTTTGAAATAAGCAAGAGACATGTAAAGTATCTTCCTTGTCTACCGGGAATCTTGAAAGGAAACTTCCCTTTGAGAAATTATTCTTGGCACCAATGGCTGGAGTAGCCAGCCTTATGGGAACAGGAACGGCGGTGACACCCACTGTGGAAGGTATAAATAGAGTCCTGTGGCAGCAGACAACTTGCAGGCTGATTCAATACCAAGCTGTGCGTCTTGCTTTGGGCTTCTGCTTGCATTTCCAGCCGCTGTCGCGATGAGTTGCAACATTAAAGAGACGATTACTGTGTCTAGCAAAGGCAGGAGCAGTGGTGGCAGCTGTATCATTGGTGGTGGTGGTGGAGCACGGATTTCTTCCTATGCGATAGGCAGTGGCAGAGGTTTTTCTGGAAGGAGTTACTGCGGTGGAGTGAATTATGGAGGGGGACTGAGTGTCGGTAGCTTGGCTGGTGGGAGCTATGGAGGTGGCAACTGCTATGGCAATGGCCTTGGTTTCGGCATCGGAGGCGGTGTGGTTGTCGGTGGCCTTGGTGGCGACTGCTTGCTTTCATCCTGCGATGAGAAAGTGACCATGCAAAATCTCAATGACCGCCTGGCGTCCTACCTGGACAAGGTGAAGTGCTTGGAGAAGGAAAATG